TTCAGGGCTTAGGGTTTAGAGGTTTAGGGTTTACGAGATGTTTCAGGCTTAGGGCTCCGGGTTTGGAGGTTTAAGGGTCTAGGGCTTTGAGCCTAAATCCTAAACCTTAAAACCCCTGAGCCCTAATCTTTAAGCTTCCAGGGGGTTGTCAGGGTAGTACAGTTTCCCTAAATCCCAAACCCTAAAAACCTAGTAGTAGAGTTTCCCGAAACCCTAAATCCTAAACCCTAAAACCCTAATCTTCAAGCTTCTAGGGGTGTCGGTGTCAGGGGAGTCGAGCTCACAGATTTGGGAGGTCGCGTCTGGTGGAGCTCTGAGGTCTTTCGGTCGAGGCCTTCGGGTTTGGGCCTTTGGGGCCTTCGGGTTTGGGCCTTTGGGGGCTTAGGGTTTTGGGCTTCAGGATTTAGGGTTTCAGGCCTTTTCGGGTTTTAAGGTTTTAGGGTTTAGGGGTTGAGGGTCTTCAGGTGTGGGGTTTTAGGGCTTTGGGGCTAGCAAACATTAGAATGTTAGCTGTTTCTTAGGGTTAGAGTAACCCCAAGATTAAGAATGATTTCTAAGTACCCCTAAGGTGTAGGGTTAGGGCAACAAGAAATAAGTATCATTACTCAGAATAGCCCAGTTGAGGTCCCGCTCAGTGCACTTAGGACTCTATAGAAACTTACCACAATTAGCCCCCCGACCCTCCAAGTAAGGCCACTTTCCCTGCTTCCTCCAGGCCTCCGGAAGCGTGACCAGCGTCGCAAGCAACTGTGGCTCGGCACCCTTCCAGAGCTTCGCGGGCTAAATGGATGTGACGTAGGGTTTCCATCATTGGTTTCTCCCATACAATATGCCCCCCAATCTCATTTTACTTGTCAAAGTTCACCAGAAAATCGAACAACTTCAAACCCTAAAACCTAAACCGTCATATACAGCGAGGTGAAGCACTGGCGGCCAGATGAGATTCCTCAAACTCGGAGGGAAGCCACGTGGAGGACAGAGGGAGAGCGCTCCACAGAAGGCCAGGGCTAACTTATTCGCAGGGTTTGTTTAGGGTTAGGATTTTAAGGGTTTAGGGTTTAGGGTCGGTAGCCTCCTTTAGAATCGATAACACCTACTTCATGTGGGCTGAGGAATGCAGCTTTCCGTCGCTACGGCATCAAAAGGCCGCGCTGGTGTACACCATAGGTTTGTACCTCCTAAACCCTAAACCCTAAACCCTAAACCCTAAACGCTAAACCGTGTACACCATAGGTTTGTACCTGCTTTTGGGAGCCTTGAGGCCCAATAAGTTCCCAAGGTTTAGGTTCAGGTCTTGCGCAGGGTTTAAGGTTCGCAAAATTTGGGTTTAGGGTTTAGGGTTTAGGGTTTAGGGTTTACTGTTTAACATGCAACTTGCGGCTGGGTCATGTTACCATTGCGCGACACCCCAGTCAGACCATTGCAACAGGTGCAATAGGACACTTGGGGCGGTGCCGATGGGGTATATACCCCTTTCCTGAACCGGCTATCCTAAACCCTAAACCCTAAACCTATCTCATACCTTCTTGTATGCCTCCATACTGCCGAGTTGATCTAGATCAGCATTCCCTCCAGGGAAGACACTCACTTGTGAATGGAGGTCCATATCACAAGGCCCCGGAGCGAGTCTAGCTTTAGGCAAAGGCATCTGGGCCCGAGAAAAAGGGCGACCTCATTTTATGCTAAACCCTAAATCCTAAACCCTAAACCCTAAACCGTAGTTGCACTTCCGGGGCACATGGACTCTACGGGTCATGCACCGAGCCCCGAAACACCAGTGACAAATCTCCCCCGAAACCGCTAAAGACCTGTAACTTAGATCACTTAGGTCACCCACAGAAGACCATCCCCAACCCTAAACCGCGAGCCCTAAGCCCTATACGCCCTAAACCCTAAACCCTAAGCCCTAAACCCTCAGCCCAAAACCCTAAACCCCAAGCCCTCAACCCTAAACCCTCAGCCCTCAACCCTGAACCCTACATCCAAAACTCTAAGCCCTAAACCCTATAAGCCCTAAGCCCCAAGACGTGGCCTGACGTGGCAGCGCCGAGCGCAGGATGAGATTGCAAAGCCATCTCAGGGTTTAAAGTTTGGGGTTTACGGTTTCGGGTTTTGGGTTCAGGGTTCAGGGTTCAGGGTTTTGGGTTTAGGATTTAGGGCTTAGAGTTTTGGGGTGCATGACTGGGTTGTAGTTTTGGGGGTCCTTAAGAGGATTTATGAATAGGTACCTCTATAGGAATAAAAAGAGACACGTGAAAGTTTCCCAAAGTGCCACCTAGATAATGGCTTTCGAGCTAAACTGAGGCTGAACACTAGGGTTTAGGGTGTAGGGTTTAGGATCTTAGCCCTAAACCCCTAAACCCCAAACGCTACACCCCAAACTGAAAAACCCTAAACCCGAAATCTTGTCTTTTGGAAGGCGCACAACAGCCCAAAGAGCCTGTATGTCCCACATGCGAGGCCTCAGGGCCTAAGAGGGTAGGTTTAAGGGCTTCTAAGTGGTCGGTATTCTGGTGAGTTGGATGCTTGGGGTACAAAAAGAGTTGCGTTTGGTTTCTCTTCGAGTGCCAGAACATGCGCGTAAGCACAAAGTGTGTGAGATATGTATGTATGTATACATGTGTATGCATGCGTTAATATGCAAGTATGCATTCATATATGTATATGTATGTGCGTCTTTACGTTTGTGTGTATGTGCCCGACTCAGAAAATGTAGCCCGGTACGAGATGTATCTTCGGATACTGAAAGTTTCAAAGAATCATGGGGCCTGAACAGACAGGAAAGAGTAGGATCCCTCATATGAGAACCCCCAAATAAGGTAGCCTGAATTCGAAGCANNCCCCCCCCCCCCCCCACCCCCCCCAATCGTTTTCTGGACCGAGAGCTCCGGATGCCGATGCTGATACAGGTTCGGCTTAGGTTGATATACCTCAAAGCCTCAAACCCTATAAGGGAAGCTTCTTATTAAGAGTTCAGAAGGATCTTATAAAGCTTCACACTCGAGGTCTGACAAGGCTCGTAGCAAACCGAATTTCTAGACCCCAACACCTTCAAACGATCAAACCCTTGTCCACTTTTCCAGTTGCTGACTGTATGCCTGGGGCCCCAGAGAAGTTTTTTTTTCAGAAGCCACTAAGAGCAAAGTGTATAGTAAGATGTCCTGCAACTTTTAACCTGAAACCTTCCCATCAAGTGTGTGTCTCTTCGGTTCAGGAACGAACCTTGCACCCTGAGTGTCAACACTTCGAAAACGTCGACACGGAAGCTTTGGCCTTCAACCTCTACTTGGAGGCCCAGGGACTTAGNNNNTAAATGGAGTTACCCCAATTATAGCCCTACTTATAACCGACTTACTAAGTCCCCTGGGCCTCCAAGTAAACCCTGCGACCCTGCAAAGCATACAAACCTTAACAGGGCTTAGGGTTTGGGGTCACTTAACACGCTACAAACCTTAAGGCCCTACGCCCTAAAACATCCTAGAACCCTACACCCTGACACCCTAAACCCTTGAGGCCTCAACCCTACGATAGCGGTTACCCATGGGCGCCATAGTAGCTCCTTTTCGGGGATTACCTTATAGGATCCTTTTGGGTTTAGGGTTTTTGGAATTACCTTATAGGATCCTAAATATAAGCCACAAAATTAAAGAGGAACTATAATGGAGCCTATGCGCAAAGAAGAAGGTAGCGGACCCTCGTCCCGTTCGCTCGTCGAAGGCGGTGGCGCCAGCAGCACGCAATGCGCGTCGCAGGGCGTCGAAGGCCAGCTGCCTCGTAGCTCAAGGCTTCTAGGGTTACTCATAGGCTCCATAGTAGTTCCTTTTTTCTGGGGGGGATTACCTTGTAGGATCCTAGATATAAACCACAAAGTGGAACTATAATGTAGCCTATGGGTGTTGGGCTTAAGGTTGAGGGTTCAGGGTTTGTTACAGGATCTACAGACCCACCTCTATGAAATGTATCCCGCACGTACTTGATTGTCTCAGATGAAACGTTTGGTAATCCCTAAACCCTAAACCCGAAGCGGTTTGGGGTTTAGGGTTTACTATACCCTAAACCCTGCAAGGGGGTACCTTTAGGGTTTAGGGTTTACTGTACCCTAATCCCGAAACCCTAAACCCTAAGCCCGAAACCCTGGTTTTTGTTTGAGAACTGTGAGTTCCAGATGATAGTCATTGCGCTTTCGGCTTGAGGCTTCAGGGGTTCGTGTTTATGGGTTTAGGGTTTAGACGGTTTAGAAGTTTAGGGTTAGGGTTTAGGGTTTGGGGCTTTGGGATTTAGGGTTTAGGGATTTAGGGTTTGGGGTTTAGGGTAAGGCGGGCTCTATTTCGCATAAGCCAACTCCTCCCGCTCGTTCGGAAGCTACAGAAACATTCCAATGACTGACAAGAAGGGCGCCCCCTTTTGTTACCTTCGTGTTTTGTTGCCTCCTGAAGCCACGCTCGGCTGCATTAGCACACACGTACAATAACAATGAAAAGAGGACTGCAAAGGTAGAGAAGAGACGTTCGGTGCATGTTATTGCGAAGGCCCTTGGCTAGCTTGGGCTTCTGCTGAAGTGAAGATGGCAGCAGCAAGCACGAGTGGTTTGCGTTCGCCAGACACCAACCCTAAACCTAAATCCTAAACCCTGAACCGTACACGAACTCGGATTGACATTTTTCTGAGAGTGTTTCGGGCGGAGAGAGAGGGAGAGAGAGCGAGAGNNAGAGAGAGATAGAGAGAAAGAGAGAGAGAGAGAGAGAGTGAAGGGTTTGTGGTTTGGTGTAGAGTAGTTACTTAGTCGTCGACCTCTACGTTCCCAGGCAGCATCTACTGCGTGGCCGGGCTCAACAACCGAGCAGCGGAGAGTGTTCCGATTGCGTTGGAGTGGAAGCTTCAAGCGAGATCATCATACATGCCCGAAGACTTTGTGATGCCCGAAACCCTAAACCCTAAACCGAAACCCGAAACCCTAAGCCCTAAACCCTAAACCTCTAAACCCTAAACCCTAAACCCGAAACCCTACACCCTAAACCCTAAACCCTAAGTAAACCCTAAACCCTAAACCCTAAGCCCTAAACCCAGAGCCCTAAACCCTAAGTAAACCCTAAACCCTAAGCCCTAAGCCCTAAGCCCTAAGCCCTAACCCCAAAGCCCTAAGCCCTAAGCCCTAAGCCCTAAAGCCTAAACCCTAACCCCTAAGCCCTAAACCCTAAAC